AGTGGTGTATGAGTGGTTCTTGAATGTCCGTAACACGGAAGTTTCGTACACTAAACTTCCTTTGACAATGATATCAGCTATAGAAGTTAGCCACGTCTCGGCTGGTCTCCAGAAACGGCATCCTTTCGAAACGGCTCATGGCCCATCCAGGTTTGCGCCCGGTGTGGGAAGGCCGGCAGCTTGGCGCCAAAACGTCGAGACGTGACGTGGCACCGAGACGTGACGTCGCCGTAGAGACGACTCGGAGTTGCGACACCTTGGTGGGAATTTTTAGCGCTTTGGTCGGTTGGGACACTTTGAAGTGGAGCTTCTCGGTTTGAAGTAGACACCCCAGATTCATCCAAGACTGTTTTGGCATTGTCCCGCACGAGTGGCTCCTCTCATGACCAGTTTCGGCGGGGTTTAAGCCTTTTGGCACATTGGTCATTGGTCCTTGTTTGGTGTATTCCCTGACTTTGAGCCGCCAGCTGAAAAGGTTTTTGATTTTGAGCTAGCAAAGATTTGTAATAGTTATATAGCACATGTGTCAAACACTCCATCCCTAGGACTAGTGGACAGCAAAAACTGCATTGTCCTGTGTGCGTTCCTGGGGCGCGCGCCGCCCAGCAACAAGCAGAGAACGCCATGGGCGCGGGGGCCCGAGCAGGTCCGGAAATCTGGTGCGTGCTCAATGTAATGAGTTTCAGGTGTTTTGTTTGGCAGGGGAATATGGTTTCAAGCCAGTAGCCGCAGAGGTTTAAGAGCATCCTCAATAGTTTTGGGTTTTAGAGTTTTGATATGGCCTCCAACTCACTGGCCACTTCTCCATGAAAAACAAAGAAGAACCTTAGCCTTTGAGGTTCATTTTCGCCATGTCTTCGTTTAATGACTAAGGTCATGACCACCCACACAAGCTCTTCTTCCCCTGGCAGTGTGGCCGCTGCTGACCCTACAGTGCCTATGTCCTGGGGGTCTGCCATGCTGAAGACCCACAGTGCCTAGGTGACACTGGTCCCAGCGTGGCTTGATTTTCCGCATTTGACATCCCTGTGGATGTCCAACCCTGCTGACTAAGAGCAGGCTAGGTGAGAACAGGGGAAAGAAGCCTATCCTCCTCTTGCAACATGTTTGCACATAAGGCAGCCCTCACTGACCATGCATAATTCGTGAAGTCGTGAAGCGGGGGACGAACCCAGATGTTCAGCCGTTAGAGTCCAGAGGCGTCCAAATAAGATGGATCCGTGTATACATACGTATGTGTATCTATGTTGCAACTATACTTAAATCTGTGCATTAATTTGCCAATACATTTGCATAGCGGGTTTTGTCCCACGGATTTTTGTGGCGGAAAAGAAGGGGTGATCAAGTCTTCCCACTGGTTTTCTTTCCAATCCTTGAAGATACTTTCGCCAATCTTTGCCTGCGGTTGACTATAGGAGTATAGGATGATCCTTTTTTTGGTGAGTTATTTCATGAAGAATTAGGAATTCCTGGTATGGAATTGTCAAGGGATATTCCTGATCCATTCCATGTACGCTGGTGGCATGGGCAGCATGGGCCGGCTTTACTAGGCGAAGTTGGATCGGTGGGTAGCATTGGGAGGACCGATCAGATCACTTAGAAGATTGGCATATGATTCGTGCCATAGTTTTATACATATAATATATATATATGTCAATTATATGTCAGTTTTTATGTTTTAAATCTAAGATTTCCAAGAGATTGGAGATGTGTTTCCTTGTATTTTTCGAGGGCCAATTTTTGGGTTCTGAGCAGTGAAGGAGCGAAGGTGTCGTACAGACATGAAATCTCACTTCGCTTTACTGGTAAGAGAGGGATGGGCACAACAAAGAAGGACAATCATGAGCACAATCACTGTGAACACCTTAACACAGGGGCATTAGAGGAACACATGGCTGATCAGGAGGGTCATTAGGGCAGTCATCCAAGTCTACGGGAAGCTTAGGTGGTTCATGTAGCTGAGTGCTCCTTCCAAGTAACCTCCTTGCTGTGCAACCTGTTTGTCTACCACAAGGCAGCCAGGAAGCCTGTAGCATGTGAGACATTCTTCCAGGCTCCGCAGGCTACAGGGAGTAACCTGGAAGTGTGGGGTGTATCGACTTCAATCAAGACGTGCACTAGTGACCCCACAGAGAGAGAGAGAGAGAGAGAGATGGTGGTGCAGGCCTCCCGTGTGATGTTTTTGGGTTGGGGTGTCAGCAACCCCTTTGAAGGCATCTTGACAATTGCTGCATATGTACTTAGAGGTTATATATATATACTAGTATTATATAACATCTACATTATTAGATACACAAGTTTAGGGCATAGAGCTGAATCAAAATTGTATTTGATCTTTGACCTGATGCTACTGGGTTTCTTGCGGTTTCTTGCTCCCTCCAGGTTACGTCCGTGCAGAACGGCACGGCGTCACCATCCAAAAACTGCTTCTCCTCGACATCGAGAAAAAAAAATAAACTGTCCGTGGCGCTGAGGAGCGGTTTGATGGGGTTTGATGGGTTTTCTTGGCAGCAGCATGGGTCCGGATGATGCTTCCTCAAACCAACATCAGAGTCGCATCAATGTACAGTATATTGAGCTGGGCGTGTGGGGTTCAGGTGCTGCAGGGACACTTGTCCACTCACAAGACTAGATGCTTGCTACACGCATGAGATCCGCACAGGTATGGGTTTACGATGGCTGACCAGGCCACCAAGAAGTGCCCAAGGTTGCTTAAGGCAAACAGTGCACACTATGCAATACACACACATATATATATTGTATATACTGTGTTTGTCGATCGGTAAACATAATTAATTATAGCGTGTACCTGCTCAGTAAAATTGCAAAGTCAAGAGCCCTACAGCCCTGCAGTGTTGGAAGAAATCATGTGCGTGAAAGACCATCACCGGGGTTTGGTTTCTGTCCCAAAGATGGCATGGCAATCAAGGGCGCTCGTCACTCGACACCCGTTGCAGATTGCAAAAACATTCAGAGGAAAAGGCTCTCGCAGGGTCTTCTGTGGAAGACAAGGAGAGGAGACAGTGCCTAATCTCACCAGTCAAAGCACTCCATGCCACCTACCGACCTACAGTACAAACAAAGACAACCTGAAACCACCCAGCTCAGGACTCAGAATTGGGTTAGAGGAACATCTACAGTGATCTACAGGAAACCAGGGATTTCACAGCACAAGCTATGGGTTTCCTGTAGGTTTTCCCCTAAACCAAATCAAATATATCCACACCACCCAAGGACCGAGGGTCGCGTCGCATGGTCGCGCGCGCCAGCGCCGCGCTCCGGGCCGCCGTGGACTCGGGTTTTCGGGTCGATGGGCTGCCCCAGCGAGACCACGGAGGAGCGGTGGCGGACGGGAGGTGACGACGGGCGGTTTTAGATCGAAGGAGAGGGATTTGTATACCTAGAGAGCGGATAATTGCAGTGTACTATATAGAATTGTATATGGACCGGATGCCATAAGGTTTCTCAGCCTTCGTAGGTTGTTGTTTTTGAGCATCAATCAGCCTGACAGAGAACATCAAGTTGACTAATTAAGCGATGAAGGCCATATCGGGTTGGAATGGCCATGCTTGCCTATCCAAGTGGCAAGTTGATTCAACATGCCGTCATCGTTAGTGGACATCGAGGTGATAATGATCACTGCCCGCCCCGCATCCCCACAAGACCAGCCTTTAGTTCTGTCTTGTCACGCATGTCTTGCACCATCTTACTCAGTCTACACCTTCTGGAATCCCCAACCTCATGGCGATCGTCCCAAGAGGAGGGCAACCATGTCCTGGAGGCTGTACTGTGATCGCACCGTCCGAACCCACAAAAACTCTGGCTTGCAGAGGGAAATCCAGAAAGCCATGAAAACGCCAATTGAAACGCCCCTCCCGGGTGTTCGCTTCTCTTTGTGAGATGGACTGCCAAAATGCTCCGGGTGCAGGGCGGTCCCTTGAGTAGCCCCCGCCCAAGCAGTTGAACAAGCTTTTGTTTGACCCAAGAAGTGAAGAGATGAACAACATGCTACACAATGTTACTATGATCAAGATATGTTCTTCAAAATTGTTACTCCCCTACCTTATTTGTTTATGTTACACAGCCTACATTACATTGGCATATAGTAAGGTAGCTTGATCGTGGATCTGTGGAACTATTCCTGGTCGCTGGTGAACAAATCATAAACAACCGTCTCCGACATGCCATGTTACGACCGGGCAGGAACACGTCGGTGATGACCAAACCAGTAGAAGGCAGAAGAAGGTAGAATCATGCACTCTACTGCATGTAAAGATTTGTGCCCATCCATCCCCCCTCCTCGAAAATGGAGGATCGAGGGGGGGGGTACCTTTAGGAATTCCATTTTAATATTCCATTTACACAGCCAACATGTTTCCAGTTTTATCTCCGCGTGGCCCCGAGAAATTTTGACAAGCGACGCGGTTGAATGGGAAAGAGGCTTCAGCAAGCTCACTGAATACAAGTCTGAGCATGGAGATGCCAGGGTGCCCACCAGATTCAAGACTTTTGATGGCTTTCCGCTTGGGCAGTAGATTAAGACACAGGGAAAGAAAAAAAAAGTGCCAAGATCGTGTGAACCGCCTGAATTCACTTGACCATGCTGGCATGATTGAATATGATGGTCTTGCTTTGAACGTAGCCAAAAATCAAAAAAAAACAAGGAGCATCGCTTACGCCCCGCGGGCGTAAGCAACGCGACCTTTTGGACGGCAACGCGGCCCCACTGCTCGGAGCTTCCTGAGGGTCCGCATCGCTTACGCCCCGCGGGCGTAAGCAACGCGTCCATGCAGTGTATTAGGCAACGCGTCCACGCAATGTAAATCAAGGTCTGTTTCTTTGATTTAACGCTCGATGTAACAAGATATACAACCCAACGCTCGCTTGTTTTGCACTTCGAAATACCAGATACCTGGACCCCTATCCAATGCTTTTTTGTTCTCGACCAGAAACAGGACGCAGCCCAAAAGAGACCAAAAAGATGACGCCAAAAGATCAAAAACACAACCCAAGCGATGCAAAATATGATGCAGAAACTGCAAAACAGGTTGGGTAAGCGCAGGCTGGTGCTATGGACGACACTGAATATCACTGGATCTAGACCGTTGCTAATGCATCATCAGGGTCAAAAATGGATAATCCATTTTCTGTTGGGGGTCCGACCCCCCCACCCCCTGGGGTAGCAGGGATGCCCATCCCATTTGTAACCACAACATAAGAATTACAGTAAGATATGAACGTCAAGAGGAAGAACATGGCACTCATGGCACCCATAAGTTTCCAGCAAAACCTGTCACTCAAGGTCTTTGGCAACCTCACTCTGAGCCAGCTCAAATTGAACGAACATGAGCACAGCTACGGTGGAAAGGTCCCAAAAGAACAGAAGATTGACAGGGATCCGAAGTTTGCATTTGGTCAATGGTTTTGCCAGTTCAGCTGAAGGGTGCTTAGCAGTTAACCGAGAAGAAGGGTGCTCAGCAGTCGCTGTCAGATCCACCGTCCCATCGCCGGCTCCAGGATTTGTGCCGTCGGCGCTTGCGACAGAACAGCAGCTGCTGCCTCGACGAGCGGTTGCGCCCAGAGGTGCAACAGCGGCCACAACTGCGCCCAGGCTGGTCAGGACGAACAGTGCTGCTGCCGAAGCTTCGTGAAGCTTCCAACACCACCAGCCATCCAGGGTGGTTATAATGCTAGGGGCCTAGGGGCCTATAATTAAGTAGGCCATCCTGCCAGGCAAGTGCGGGACATAGAGAATAGATTGGTGTGTGAGGAGTCTTGTATTTCAATATGTGTTTTTTGGGTTGTTTTTCCGTGTATTTTTTGTGTGTGTGTCCACTCCTGTTTCCAAGGACACTACCCTAGTTTTTCTAATCTACCCTACAAGCTTTTCTGTACAGAAGCAGGGGGCGACAGAGTCGCTGCATGGCTGTCGCCAACGAAGCTCCATGCAGTTGACTAGGATATCACGGCTGATCACCGTGACGTACCTGCAATTTTAATACTAATTTTGATTTTCAATCGCTGAGATTTCTAAGTCAGTGCAACGCTGTCTCATACGTTGTTTCCTGCAGTATCTAGATTTAAAGGGCTAATGCACACCGCGAAGCTACCTGAAATCACGCTCCACGGAGCAACCTTCTCAAGTGTGTCTTCGCAGCTTCTTCTCACTGTGGTGAGCTGTGTGATCCCTACGGGGCGCCGTTACCGCAAGAACCTGTTCACTCCTCACCGAGGGAGTAAGTTTCCTGAATTTTCTCTGAAGTCCCTTAGACTGAATTTGACCTGCTCGAAATCAGCTTGGATCGTCTCACCCAGCACACGTGAAGATTACTGCAGAGTTCACTGAAATCCTTTCTGAATCCCACTGCAGAGTTAACTGAAAGAGTTTCACCCGGGAAATCCATTCATACCTTTCCAATCTTTTTAACCTTTCAAATCTTTTTAACCTTCCAAGTTTTAATTCCATTTTCCAGAATTTTAATTGCGGTTATTCAATACACTTCACAATTTCTACGACCTCACGGACCTTATTTATTTATGTATTTATTTTCATACATACATACATACATATTTTCACTGTCTTTGACCTGCCGAGCAGCCATGACGTATCCCTGGCCCTATTCTTTGCCGCCACACATCCACCCACAACCACAACCTACACAACCTCATTGGATTCAATTTCCACCACAGGCATCACCACAACCTTTTTCAACACTGCCACCGACTCCACCGCAACACCCAACCTCACATCACTACCCATTGCCCATTACACCTCCACCTCATGCTCAATACATCCAACCACATCAACTTCAGGCACATTTTCCAGTGCAACCTACGGCTCCCTTCGACACTACCCAACTTGCGCAACAACATCCACATCTCACAACTCAATCACCACAATCCCAAGCTCACACACATCTTACATTGCCACTTCAGTCTCAATCTCAATCTCAACCACCACCTCATCAACTACATCAACCACATCTACCACATCAACTACCTCCATCACCACACACGACAAATCAAACCCCTGCCACAACATCTTTTCAACCACCACCACTACAAGCACCTGATGTACTACAAGCACCACCACCTGATCCAACAACAATCACTTCACAGCAGTTGACCACACCAACTCCACCACCACCACCTTACACCTCAACAACCTCACCAGCGACTACTCAACCTGCTTCAGCATCCATCAACACACCCGCACAGCCTCCGCCACCACACCACATACCACGCACTACCAAGCCAACACCATCCATTGCACCCACACTCAGCACTACAAGAGGCATTTGGCGCGACCCAGATCGCTCACCACCACGCACACCTAAACACCACCGCTACTCAGCCTTTCCAGCCGTACCTTCCATTGCACCATCACAAGCTACATCCAGATCCAGGAGCCGCACTCGATCACTACGGACCACACGCTCTCCACTACCAAGACGTC